AACTTTCAAAATAGTGAAATTTCAAAATAAAAGAATTTTAGTTTCCAGAGAGTAAAACCTGAAAATAACGAAACATCGAAGCAGTGAAATGTTAAAAACGGTAAAATTCCAGATGATAAAACTCCAAAATGCTGAACTCTCGGACAATCAAATCTGGAAATAATAAAGTTCCAAATAATAAAATCGAAAAGATTCCACGCGAAGAATTCCAATATTCCCAATTTTTAATCCAACGATATTTTATTACGAAAGAAATCCCCTAATCTCGTCAGAATCCAGGAAAAACAAAACTTGAACCACGACAATCGCCGAAGATACCAATCGCGAACAATACCGACAATTCTGTGAATAAAAATCATCGTTGAAAAATTGGCGAATTCTCGCGAGCTATCAACAGAATCGAAAGATAAAGAAAGCACTCATTTGCGTGGAAACACGTGATGCGTGTGTTCTCCAAGTCGAAACAAAGATACGTATAAGCGTTGATACACATGTAAGCGGTATTGAAACGCTCGACGAGGGACAACGCAACGACCAGTTGAAGCAAGAGAGTAAGGGAGAGAAAAACCGAGTAGTTTACGATGTAGTCGACAATAGCAGTGCAGAATTGTACGGTTACGAACAGTATCACTTAGCGATGATTCGAATAACGTCACCTATCGAGAAATATAGAAAATCACACTTTAACAAAATGTACACGTAAAATGTGCTATTCGTTTCACTTGTTCATTGATCATTTGCAACTGTACAGAGCTAACCCTCCCATGGGCAAACATACTTTTTCACACTACGTAGGCAAACTGGGTAGTTTGTGTCCAAGTCTAATTTTTTTACTGTTTCAGGCATTGAAAAAATGTGAAAAAATTCTGGAACACTTATCAAAATCTCTGCTACGTCGTGCAATTGTTCGTTAAGTGAAATGATTGAAACTTTGTTCGGTAAAAATAGAAATTCGTTTGAAAGAAATGCGGGAAAGAAATTTCATTGATTTCACTTGGGTCATCAAAGACCCAGATTCGAAATCTTGACGACCTTATCAACTCAAAATCGCCATATTTTTTCTGTGAGGAAATTCGTCAGTTGCTCGATAAATGAAAAACGAGTGATCGAAAATAATGACAATTATTTCAAACATTAAAATTATGCTTGATTTTTTGTACATAAAATTGAAGTTTGCGAAAGAAGACGGTGATTTAATTTGGACACCTGATATAAATGACAATTTATTTATCGGTTATGAGTAGAATAATAAGATTAGACGGAATAGCATTATTTTTCCTTTGCACGGGAATACTTTTCTTGAAGATCTTTGGATACTTTTTTAATCTGCAACAGTAGTATTGATATTATTAAATTATTTTTGACTCTTAAACGACATTCCATATGTTGTTCGTGATTTGAGTAAAAAGATGGTGGAGTAGAATTACTTTTTTATTCGCAGAAAGATAAAACGAACCCCAGACAAAATTCTCCATACTGTACCATAGAATATAAATAATCATAACTCAATTTAACAATGTTTATTACGGTGAAATGGAAGAAACTAAAAGAGCCCTCCTCAGGCATACATATATTCGTCTAAAATAACTAATATTAAAAGAAAAGTCAGTACGTAAATGAAACATTTTTGCAATCTAAATCCAGGAACTTTTAGTACATATTTAAAAACAAAACATTCGTCACACCGTTAATTTAACTTCTTCGAAGACACAAAACATACGTGCAAAATTTCTCTCTAAAATTCCAATATTTCTAATTTGAGAAAAAACACAGAGAATACGGTGAATCTCCTAACAAGCAGGAAACACTTTAATTGTTATCGATTTATAGCGAATAAAATGTAACTATAATATAAATAAAAAATTGAAGCACTTTTTCCTGACTTAAAAAGAAATCCTCTCTGAAGAGGTTAAAATTAGAACTTTCCACGGTTTCGAACAATTACAAAGCACCGCCAGATTGTATGAGAAAAGTGTGTGTGTGTGTGTGTGTGGGTGGGTAGCAACCACGTTAGAATGGCGGCCGATTGTGGCTATTTCTGCCCGCGACGGGACGATTGCTTTATCAGCATGTGAACTCTCTCTGTTCTTCGTGTGTTAAAAGCGCGAAAACGGGACATTTATTTCGGGAAATCGAGCCATCCGATTATTAACTTGCCGTAATGGGTCGCGGCACGACAGGAAATTGAAAAAAGGCTTGATCTCTGATTCCCACGTGGCCGCTTATAGCTGCCCGTGGTGAACATTTCGTTCCGCGATTTTTCCACCGTTTAACAATGAAAACGACGGAGATTTGTATGTACGAGCTGGTTAGATTGATTTTGAAAATTTTATACGACAGGCGATTGATATCGGTATTATCGACGGTGGTCGATGAATTTTCCAAAATTTTCGAACCGTCGTTCGATTATTGACGTATGAGTTTACATCGCGGTTTTCGATGCTATATTTGTGGAACCAGATTTCTGGCATAGTTAGAAAAAAATTAAATATACAGTCAAGGACAGAAATATGTGGACACCCTTCAAAATGGAGTAACTTTTTTAAAATTGGGCCAAACGACTTGAGTTTCTTTCTGAGAAGTTAGAAAGACTAGGTTACTAGATGACGTGTATAACAAATTTTTAAATAATTGCAAATTTGTAGGACAGTAAAGGTCACTGTTTACGAATTTTTTATCTGGGCTTGTAATGAAAATTTAAAACATACGTTTTGTAGATCTATGTTAATTGTACACATGCTGAAAATTTCATCGAAATCGGTTGACGTTACTATGAGCTACAAACGATTGAAGACTGTGAAAATCGCACTACTCCGCGACTTTTGGCCTAAAACTGTAATAAATCTGAAGATACTCATATCTTTCGATGCCTGTCGCTTGTTTCTCCATCCGCCGATTTCGATGAAATTTTCAGCCTGTGTATAATTGACATAGATCTACAAAACGTATTTTTAAAATTTTCCCACAAATTGCAATTATTTCAAAATTTGTTGTACGCGTCATCTAGTAAACTAGTCCTAACTTCTCAAAACAAATTCAAGTCGTTTGGCCCAATTTTAAAAAAGTGACTCTATTTTGAAGGGTTTCCACATATTTCTGTCCTTAGCTGTAATGTTTAATTGTTAAAATTGTTGAAATTTATAATTACATTGCAGTAACGTTCCTACATAGTTTCTACGTTCTATGGTAATAGGTATAGGTTTCCATGAAATGAAAAATTCGAATTAAAAATTGTTCCATCAAACGTAAGTAAAAAAGTTTGTACAGTGTTTCTCTCGTTAAATAAATGCCGAAACCACAGGAACTTTTTTCGTTACCTGATACGTAGTTTGGAATTGAAAGAAAGTGGAAGAAATTTAGGGTAAAAATCCCCTCGTCGTTTGAAAAAAGAATTGCGTAAAAATTGCAAACTTCTAAAGATTGTGAAATATTGTCGATACGAAATTTGAAAATTGGAAAATTCCAAATCTTCGTATCTAATTCTAAAATTTATTATTAAAGGGTTAATGTAAGAAATACGAAGATTTTTAATTTAGAACTGCAAAATGTACCATTTTTGAAAGTACACGAGGAACTCGTAGTCTTTAGTTTTATTCTTTAAAGAATAAGTAGAAGAAAGGTTCTCATTACACCAAAGATTCGCACGTTTCAGCTTGTTGGCTGTTGTTCAAGACACGGTTTATTTCTTTTTTCTTGGTTCGTCGTCTCCGTGCGAAAATCCTAACGACGTCGTTTCGACGAACGAGGATACCTTGAACGAAGCCAACGAGTGCACGCGATAGAGAAACTTGCGTTATTTTATAAAAATCGTGAGCTTCTTATCACGAGAAATCGGTCTGTCTTCAATAGAATGAAATAAATTGAAAATAAATAAAAATAGAAAAATAATTAAATAGCGATAAGATAATTCTTATTATTTTCATCAAATATCCAATCTAACTTTTTACTACCCCACCGGAATCTATTAAAAACCTGCTTACCTCGATATACAGTATTATTACACCCTTCGAATTACTGAACCCAAACGAAATTTTTAGAGGAAATATCTATAAATATTTTAAAAATTCAATAACACAAAAAGTAAATTTTATTCGAAGCTCTAAAGGCGAATAGCCCTTTGGACCTATTAAAATCTGCTCACCTCAACATACACCATTATCATGTCTCTCAATCATTGAACTCACGAAACACTCGCATAAAACATTTATAGACATTCAAAAATTCTGATCCAATTCTTTCAAGCTTCCAAAGGCAAATATTTCCTTGAACTTATCAAAAATTAATTAGCCAACCATTTTCACATCCCTCGAACTGAACTCACAAAATATTCACAGACGCTCCAAAAATCCAATTCAATCCGTTCGAATTTCCAAAGGCGAATATTCCTTCGAATTTATTAAAACCTAAGCTCACCGTTATCAGATCCATCAAACCACTGAACTCACTCAAAATACCCCCCCCCCCCCCAAAAAAAGAAAAAAATATTCACCGACGTTAAAATTCTCTGAAACCCCTAGAACCAGTCCACAACCCATGCATCTAATCGCCACAACGACCAACCAAAACACCAACCCTGAAACCACTGAACCTAATCACCCACTACAATATCTCCACAATTACCCGTCTACCCTCGATCCTATCTTCCGACGTAACACTCGTCACCCGATCGCATCTTCACACCGACACATGACCATAGGCACTCGTCATCGCCATCAGCGTTAGAACGTATACTATAGGTAACATCTCCGGGGGCCGTAATCGGAGTAGAGTAAGGAGCAATATAGGACAACGAAGGGTCAACACGATTTAATGGGATCGCTTGCTAATCTCTGCGACAGGCTTGCCCGGCGTACCAAATGGACGAGGCTCGAGGGAGGACTGTGAAACGATAGGAGGCGACCGGTTGCGGCTGCAGTTGCGGCGTCGGTCGCTGCACCTGCAGCTGCAGCTGCGGCTAGGTGCTCGTCATTGCCAGCTAGCGACCTCCTTGCCTGTAAACGATGCAGAGTGACTACTATCAAAGGGCGCCGAGATGCTGTCCAGGAAGGAACGCGAACGCGAGCGCAGACACGTTGAGGATCAGCGCGGCCGACAGGGAAGCGGAGTTGTTCTGCTGTTGCTGTAGATGCAGCACAGCAACGTCCACGACCAAGCCAAGTCTACTGGCGTGCTTAGGGGTCTGCGTGCTGGTGTTAGCCTACACGCTACTCGGCGCGTTCGCGTTCATGGCGCTGGAGGGTGGCTTGAAGTCGGTATGTTAATTACGCTGTTCGCTCTTTTTCTTAAGCAGCTTGTATTAAATGTAGGAACGGGAATTTCGTGTGAATTTTTATACCGAGTAACTGAGTTTCGAGTGTTAGAGACGCTAGAGAAGAATGTTTGGACTTGAGCGCTTGAAATTAGGGCGCGAGAGAGAAGTACATGATCACCCAAGGGTTTGTGTAGACGTGACTATAGTTGAAGCCAAATATATTGGACGGTGAAGGTCGTTTTTCCTCCGTCGCTTTTTATATTATGTAAATGTGTCTTGGGAATGTCTGCGTGGATTGAATGAATTTGAGCGAGAGGGACGGTGAAATAAATGAAAGAAAGAATATACGTGTGTAAGAATATATAGTGTGAATTGTAATTGTTAGTTGGAATTGTAGAGTTGATAGAGTTTTTGAGTTATATTAAAAGTATTTCATACCTCTGACAGGATTCAGAATTGCTCGTTCCTGGTGGTTCAAAGCCCGAAGGAGGATCGTACGTAGTACCGAATCTTGAGGACGATACTGCGGCCATGGAACTCAGGGCACGCACCGTCGAAAGGCTCTGGAGTATCACGGAGGATCTGAACGTGCTTTACAAGGAAAATTGGACGCGTTTGGCGGCCAGAGAAGTATTCGAGTTCCAGGAGAATCTGGCTCGTGATCTTAGGAGGACTTCCTCGCAATACGAGCCTGCTGGGCCATCCTCACGATCCAGGGATCATTCCATGGACAGAAGACAACATCGAAGGTGGACATTTAGCAGCAGTTTATTATACTCCTTGACGCTAATCACCACTATAGGTAAAAAAAATAATATTTCTAATTAATTAATTGATATTTAGTATTCTTTGCAAATATGAGTTAAATATTTTGAGAGTTATCAAACTCTGTTTAGCTACAAAATGTCTTTAGAACTATTTAACAGTGAATTATATTAAAGATAGTTTATCAATGTCTTGTCAAAACTTCACAAATGGCTTCTAACAGCGTTCAAAGGATCCCTCCTTTGTTCCTCAACATAGTTAAACTGTAAACTGCACTGAAAGACTCCATGGTGGTGCACAAACTTATCAATACCCTGCAAACTTCCTAGTGTACCCAGGAGTATAAGATACAACCCATCGTCCAAAAATATTCAACACTCCTATATACTGTACCTACTTTCCTTACAAACACCTCAACTTTTCGTCACTCAAGTAATCACTTGAACGGTCAATTTGCGAATGATTAAAAATTCAACATTTTAAGTGCACTCAAACCCTTCTAGAATTCTATTACAATATTCTACCATATTACCTAAGGAATCAAATATACGTGACAACTCTCGATCGAAATATATGTGATAATTATCTACCAGCTAAAGAACATCACGAAACATCTCGTAATAATATTTCTTCTTACTAAAAATTTTCAAAACGACCCAAATGGAAAATCCAACGTGGACCACCGATGACCTACGCGGCACTACAATTCTCAGTTTGTGTCAGCACAGTTTGAATCGCCTCTAAACACATGCCCATTACATCCATATAAACGCCACGCATTCAGCCAGCCCCCGTCATTTGTTCCCGCGATAATCCAAGCAATTGTGATCCAACATACTCTATCGTCGTTTCAGGATACGGTAGCGTGGTGCCTCGTACGGTTTGGGGTCGTTTGATCTCAATAGTGTACACAGTGGCTGGAATCCCCCTGATGATGGTCTATTTAAACACTGTGGGCGAAGTCCTCTCGAGAAACTTCTGTCGTTTGTATGGACGGCTGTGCAGGCCACGCAATTGCACCAGGAAGCAACAACCACCACCACCGCCCCCTCCTGTAGGCGGAATCATGAGCAAAACGTACAGATACGACAACCACGTCGACTCAAAGTCTGGAAATTATTACTCAGCGAGTAGAGAGAGTTCCTGCGACGATTTGGGAACCAGAGGTACCAGCAGCGCCATTTTGCTGGATTGTGGAAGCGAGGGGCTGCTTCATGCTACCACCAGCTCCACTGCCGCGCTTCAGGTATTGCAGGTTCTCCATCTGGAAACACAGTTTCACGTTTAACGAGAAGTATGATTGATCGGTTGATCAGGTTCCAATGCGGACACTGGACGCCTCGTTATGTCGTAATGGAGTTACGAGATATTCGGTCATTTATCTGGATCAGAGTTTATGAGCAGTTGATGCAGGAAAAGTGTGGATGTTGTACATGTAGATGAAAAATTGTAGGTTGAAAAATTATTAAATATTGTTAGATGAGTAGTGAGGGTCCAGTTTTCTTCTAAATGGAAGAATAAAAATTGTTGATACTCTAAGAGACAAAACATTCTACATAACTTCAGTATTCTAAAATACAGTGTGGTAAATGAAATCTTAAAACGTAGCACTCAGAAACATAAGAAACAGTAAATAAGTCATGATGCATTATTATTTTAGACCATGAGTAAAATTCAGCTGGACACCTATCAGCTAATATTTAAAAGTAGTAATAATCAAAAACCCAAGTCTTCATAATCTTCCTCTATCATACAGAATCGTCAATCACCAAAAACAAACACTCTCTTCAATAAAAATAAAAACCTGAAACATAGATTCCTATAAAAATTCATTTGAAAATATTCTTTTTAATCACAAAGAAAATTATCGACATGTACTAGGACGTATCGTCAGGGAACGGGAAACGCCATTTCCACCTGTGCTCGTTGTCCTTATCGACGAGCTCGTCACCAGGCTACGTGGTAGAGACGAAGCCTGAGAAAGTACCGGTCACCCTGTGCCTGGTAGTCATGCTGATCTACTTATGCGGTGGCGCGGTGATGTTCAATCGTCTTGAGGGTTGGAGCCTCCTGGAGGGTGGTTACTTCTGCTTCACCAGCTTGGGAACTATTGGTTTCGGTGATATGATGCCAGTTGGAAAAAACGCCGCGTCCGCCACCCTGGAGGAACTCAGCCTGTGCGTCTGTTCGCTCTACATAGTCGCCGGGATGGGCCTGGTCGCCATGTGCATCAACCTCGTCCAGAAGGACGTGGTACGCGTGATCAGGGTCTTCGGTAGAACCTGCGGCATGTCGTCGGGGGTGGTGGTCGGACCTATCGGTGGTACAGGTATCCCTGATGCAGGCATTCGACGGGGAACCGCTAGTTCGTTCCGAGCGAGAGGCTAATTTTACCCGGATCCGCTTTAGAGATTATCACCTGGACGCTTTGAGCCTGGCCATTCGTCTTTGTAATTTGATCTTGTGGCTTTTGTTCCTGGAAAGGTAGCTGAACTTTGATTATCAAGGAACTCTACGTACTTAAAGAGTGATCGCCTGAAATAACTCTGTTGTCAGTGGATCGATCGAATTTTCTTTTTGTGTCGCATGATATTTCATGAAATTTTCAAGGTCAATTTTTTTTTTTTATTGAAAACACGCTTTTCAATAAACTCTCTGAAGCTTTTACCAATAGATTTTACATGTTTTGTATTCTTGAATTCTATGCACATTTCATATGTGTATTAAAAAGACTAGCTTTCGATACAAGCAACTACTTTATCTCCACTCCTTCATAAATTACAAATTTATTCTCACAATGAAAACATTGTCTTCCACTATTTTACACAATCTATTCAGCTACCTTTCCTTCACACTCATCCAAACATCTACCCCACGAAATGAATCTTCCCAAACCCAGGCTCAGAGCATCGAAGGCGTCACGAGACAAACGAGTAAAC